AGTACGTGTGAGCAAGTACAAGACGATTTTTGAGAAGGATTACACGCCAAATTGGACCACCGAGGTGTTTATGATCGTTAAGGTGCAGCGTACCAATCCCGTAATCTATTTACTCGAAGACTATCGTGGAAAATCCGTCGCTGGTGCATTCTACGAGCACGAGTTGCATCGCGTTACTCATCCAGACGTATATCTCGTGGAGAAAGTATTGCGTAGGAAGGGAGACAAGGTGTACGTCAAGTGGCTGGGGTTCATTTCTACATATAAAAAATATGTCAATATAAATATATAAAAATATATCAATATAAGTATATAAACGTTTTTTTATTACTTCCCATTCATCATTATCATCTTCATTTTGGAGTATACAAAAAAAACATGAGACACATAAAGTAAGTAAAGTAAATTAGAATACTAGTATATAATACGTATATAAATGTTAAAAACATGTGATATGTATTATATGAAAGTACAATAATCGTAATACATAAAAAAAAAATAATAATACTTGTATAAATGTAAAAAAAAGTGTAAAGTACAATAGTAATACATAATAGCATAATACATATAATATACACAATACATATATTGTATTACAAAAATATCCGCCAATGTCCCCATGGTAACGTCTCCGTCGAGTCGGGTACGACGTATCGTTTGTCGTTGTATGGACTCAGAGCGATTTTCGATTCGAATATCGTGCACACCTCATGTAATTTAGATCGTATACACGATTGACGGCGAGTCATTTCAATCTCTTCGTTCAAACATCGCATGTAATCATCGAACGTTATCGTTCGGGCTACGACGTTATTCTTTACACCTTTTGCCTTTTTAATATCCTTCTTGCCATCCACTCTCACCGCGTACTAAGTCCAACAAATCTTCGCTCTAAGTCCAACAAATTCGGTCATTAATACACCGTTGTTCTCATCCTTCATCAGGCCGAGTACTTTTTTGTTCGCGAGAGGCATATCGTACGCGTTGTCTGCCGGATAATCGCTCGTGTCGAATCTAGCGATATCGCGTTTCATAGTCTCGTAAACATTGTCGCATTCTATATAGTAAATGAGATATCCGTGTCGGTGTACATGATCTTGCATTTGTCGCGATACATCGGTGACATGTACTCGTGATGAAATTCCTACAAACAGATATGTCAAGTATGCACATACGTAAATCGGCTTGTTGAATTTCACCTTGAGTTTGCGCATTTCGACAATCAAATTTTCCGCAAACACGCTACGGCTATGAAAATTCGGTTTCGCGATCATTGCCTCCGCGCCGTACCGTC